TAGCCTGTCTTGGGTTCACTGTTACATTGCTGCCCAAAAAGCACTTACTGAGCATCCATTGGCAACTGATAAAACTAATTTCCTCACAAATGATAAGATGCTGATGCACTTTTATTGAAGAACTTTGGTAGGGTGGGTAAGGGTACAGGACACCCAGGTTATAGTAGACTCCAAAAAAATTATAGAACAAAATACTTGCAACCTTCACAGACAGAGGACCTGTAAGCCGATTGTGGCAATCTGTGTCCTGCTCCTGGCTGTGTAGCACTCAGTGTAATACCTGTTAGTCCATTTCAGAATAGATCACCATGCTTCAGTAGAGGATCAACTTCTCAGGCTGACTACAGTCTGACAAAAGCTAAATTTAAATAGTCACTCCTCCTAAGGGCAGGGTGGAGGTTTATGTTAGATTTCTTTTTTTCAGCTGGCAGGCTGAAATCGATTATAATTGAGTAATGCTTTTACAAAGCTTGCCATATACAATTGTATTTAATTGCTCAAGTTTTTTTTATATATTATTAGATATAAAAACCTGGTGAATCTGGTAGTTCTACCTGCTTCCTCCTTCTGCCAGTCAACGTTGTGCCTATACAGGTTTCCCCTTCAACATTGTTGCTCTGCGTCTCTGTACAGAACAATGCATGTCCTGTCTACGCACTGTGTGTTCTTCCTTTAAGTGCAGAAATGTCTGTCAGGGGCGATCAGTAGAAAATGATTGACAGCAGTTTTTCCAAATCAGCTATTTTGGCATAGAGTGTTCACTTCTCCTGTCTTCTCCAAACTCTTCACCCTTTTGCAGCTCCAGCTAGGAGCCTCGATGTTTTCCAGTTAAGCAATTACAATGCTCTCCCCTTTCTCCCTTAGGGCCCGTTCAGACCAGATGCAGTGTGTTCCGTCCCAATTCTGGCAAGAACGCACTGCCTCGCATTGTGACTGGTGTTCTATCACAGATTGTGTGACCAGTGACGTGATCACACATTCTAATGTGATCACGCCCATTTTTTCGGCGGTGGAATGTGTGACCAGTCACGTGGTCACACATTCTAACGTAGTCACGCCCATTTTTTTCGGGGTAAGAATGTGTGACCGGCAACAGGTGTAGAACTCAAAGCTTTCTCAGCTGTTCCCGGGCAGATCGGCATCGCAGATGGTATGGTATCTGCCCTGGAACAGCTGATCGGTCCTGAAATCTCACTTCTATCCGACTTTGTATTGCACTCACAAAGTTGGAGAGAAGTGAGATTTCAGGACCAATCAGCTGTTCCAGGGCAGATCGTTTCTCCTGCACATACCATCTGCAATGCCGATCTGCCCGGGAACAGCGGAAAAAGCCTTGGAATTCTTCACCTTTTGCCGGTCACACATTTTTACCCCGGAAAACAATTTCCACACATTCTAACGCAGTCACAATCTGTGATAGAACACCAGCTCACTTCTTTGAGGGGCAGGAGGGGGCGTGGCGGGCCATTGAAGTGAATGGCACGGTAGCCACGGCTTTTGGCCGCAATGCGATCGGTCGCACAGGATCGCAAGGCACATTATGCCTGCGGTCCGCTCTGGTGCGATCAAAATGGTGCTTCATCTAGTGTGAACGAGGCCTAAGTGCTGTGTCAGACAAGGTAAATATAGTAAATATAATATATATGTGACCACTAATAAAATGTCAAGGAAAAGGTATTTTCAGACATGTTCATGCTTTATTTTATATTAAACTGGCTTCAACAGGGTCTGTATTGGGAGGGGATTGAGTGGGAACATCTGGGTTTTCAGCTGCTTTAAAGCACCCTTTAGCATTATCCGGGTAGAGTTCCAAGTAGATAATTTAAAGAGGACCTGTACTTTAAACTTTGGCCGTCTCACATGGATTCATTAGCACAGGTTAATGTGACGAAGGAACTATCACAAAAATGTACCTTTACCATACATTTCCTGATTGGAAGTAGCAGAGCAAGACAGCACAGGGAACAGTAGCAATGTAGCCTCCAGCCTTCTAGTCTCATGGGAGCCAATCAGGAGGTTGATATCCCACCTACCCCTGCTTATGGATGCTGGATTACACAGATAATGTCCCCAGCGAACGGTTTTAGGAACAGAAAGAGCTGTTCCATAGAGACAATGGATTGAAAGTGGGCCTGGGCAAAAGAGAAGCTGCAGAATCCCCACTGCAAGTACTATATCACTCATGACTGACTTGTCTTACCCCATTTGAAGAATAAGGTTGCCTGAGTCTAGGTCTGCTTTAATGGGAGTGCTGGCTGTAGCTTTAAACAATGATGTACTTTATCCTTACCTACTTTACCAAAAAGTCATTTTTTACAATAACGCATTTATTACAACCCTTGCAATTGTTATTATATGCTTTATTATAAACCTTTAGGCCTATGACCCTGAAAAAAAAAAAAAAACATATTTAGTACATCTCTGCAGTACAAGCATATTTCCCCATGTTTTAGCCCTTTAAAAACACTGCAAGTACAAAATAATACCCATTGATGTGCAGGAATATACAGCTGAATATAGCTAGGGTTGCCACCCGTCCGGGTTTCACCCGGGCAGTACGGGTTTGCAATCATGTGCCCGGGTCTGTGCCCACGTCCCGCCTGGGCACATCATTCAAAACGGTACAATGCCGCATACTAGCATATCTTGTGGCGGACGCTAGGTGGCGCTGTTTCCTGTCCCTCGACTCTCCCTCTCCTGTTTCTCTCCTCTGTGGCTGTCGTGGGAGGAAGTGACATCAGGGAGAGAGGGAGCCGTGAGGGACGGATCTTTCTCCGGCAGCCAGCCAGCCAGCAAGCAGGGGTTGTGGAGAGCAGCGATTTTGTCACACAACCCCTGCTTGCTGGCAGCTGTAGGAGGGTGAACCTGCGCTGGTAGAAGGTGGACCTGCGACTCACTGGACTGAGGATGGCCTGCACGCATCATCAGGGTGTTGGCTTCAAGTACCAGGAAGGGACAACCAGCTCCTGATGACATAAGTAAATAGCAGCATGGGACCTGGCATGTGGCTGTGGAGCAGTAGATGACAACAGAACAGTGAGTATATTTATTGTGGACAACTCCAGTGAAAAAAGGGTATCTAGGGAAAAAAACACACGGAGGGGTGAAGTTATTACATTTTGATCAAATGCAATATTCATTGGAAAGGGGGGGGGGATCAGTATTGCCCATTAACTACCTCCCGGCCGTGTATACACGGCCTGCGGGGAGCTTCTTGGATGTAACTGGGAACCTGGCCTTGGGGCAGCAGAGAGAGTAAATCTGGCCCTGAGGATGGTGCTAATTTTGTTCAAGTATTATCCAGGGTCAACACATAAGCCAGCTCAGAAATGACAAAATCATATAATTCTGTTGGAATTCTTGCCTGTGTTCACAAATGTCTCTCACTTTATAAAGATACAATCTACAGTCTGATGACTGCAGGTGAAGAGACTGTGGTTATGCCTTCTCCTGCCTGCAGCAAACTCATGCCATCAGCTTAGACTAGGCAGTCATTTGCAAGGAGGTAATTTTTACTAATAATGTTTTGAAAAATGATAGTTGTTGTATATTGTGATATCTCAGCAGTTTTAATCATGCAGACTTGTAATGTTACTGAAAGGTCCACTTTAATTAGCCAGTAAAAGTATCACTCACTTAATTCTATATGTTATGACACACACATTTATTTTTGACACACACACATTTATTTTTTACATTTCTTCAAGAATTGCATATATATTCACCAGAACACCAATATCAGTTACCCAGACACAGTTTTGAGAGGGTATTTTAAGGCAGGGGGGATTTAAAAGGTACTCTTAGGGCCCATAGTGCATGCAGCATTTTTTCAGATCGCACAGAACCAGAACAGAGGGCATTCCTGTACCTTGCATTCCAGTGAGGGAGTTTCCACTGCGGGCAGGGGGGGGGGCGTGTCTGCGGTGCCATTGACATTATTGGCGCTGACACTCCCCTCCTGCCCCAGAACACTGGCAGGCTTGATCTATGTGATCCAGTGCGTTCTGGGCTTGAACCGCACTGGAACACACTGGATATGGTGTGACTGGGCCCTAAAACAGCTTGAAGACCTCAAAATTTACAAAATGAGCAGGCAGTCCTACCTTGCCTTTCAAATACCATGCAAGAACTTTTAATGCTTGCAGTCACATCACATGCATGCCCCACAACCAGCATCAAGAAAAAAAGTGGAACTTCTTTTGCCCAGACGTGCAGCCTGCTCCACCTCCCGGTTCCTACCCTCTGCCTGCCTGGTGCTAAAAAGGTACGGGGGCACCCTGAAGGGAGCACAAAAGAGCATTCTGATGCGGGCACCTGATTTAAGGGGGCCCTCCAATGGGGACACCTAATGTAAGGGGGCACCTGATAAAAGGGGGCACTGTGATGGGGACACAGGATATAAGGGGGCACTGTGATGGGGATACATCATGTTAGGGTGCACTTTCATGAAGACAGCTGATGTAAGGGGGCATCTGATGGAGACACCTGATGTAAGCGGCACTCTGATGGGGACATCTGATGTAAGGGGCACTCTGATAGGGACACCTCATATAAGGGTGCTCAACATACGATGGCTCCATATATACTAGGATCTGAGTCATAGCACAATCATGAGATTTGGACTGCTGTTGGAAGAAATTTTTACTGACCAGTCTGCCTTGAATTTTATTTAAATACCTCCGTTCTATGAAATAGATGTGCGCACAAATACTGTAAATAAGGGAGAGATCAGGATGCCCAGTAAGTATCGCAACCTTCATGTGAATTGGTAGTTTATGGAGCAGTTCAGTATTTACACACAGAAATGATTATTATTTTGTCTTAGTTTTGCTTCAGTCTCTCTCATGCTGATGCACTTGAAGCCAACAATATTTTAAATCCATGATGATATATGTACATTACGTCTTGTTGTGGCGCCAGTTATTGAGTGAGACCTTTGTAACAGGCATTAAAAATGTACGCATTAGTTCAAATAGCTTCCGGTTAGAGACCATGTACTGTCAAACTTCCTCCTGCGAGATGTGATAGTCTTTCCCCTGCTCCTGAGCCACAGGCAGCCCCTGCATTGTGATGTCCTGGTCCTCTTCAGGAAGATTGGGCTGTGGTAAATCTAAATCCAACAGTGGATCCTCATTGTCTTCCTCAGGTGGATCCTGTTATAACAATAGGCACAACAGAAATAATAGTAGTAATAATAATAGTAATAGGGGATAGCCCCTTTCTTTATCCAACCAAACCCCTCTCTGATATAGTCAACACACCCATCCATATTCATGCATTCAGCAGGTCTGCTTAAACCCCTGGTGCCCAACCTGCAACCCCGGTTTGAAGTGCAGCCCTTGAGACCCAGCCATCAATGGTAGGAGCATTGAGTTGCAAAGGGGCTTTTTATAACAGTAATCATTCACAGTTTCCTGTAACATGTCTCTAGTCTCTAACTGTCTCCTACAGCATGACTTCAGTCTCCAACCACTTCTGTAGAGCAGTCTCTGATCAATGCCTCTAGTAAGTCCTCAGGCTTCTGTAGCATCATATAACATGACTTTATAGCAAATATTATATGCGCCCCTTGGAGATATTAGGGTCTATATTTGAGGCCCCCCCATACCTTGTACGTTGACAACCATTGACTTAAAGGCATTGATTTGTACGGGTTAATAAACTCTTACCTGTATTTGCTGTTTCAGTTTGACCTTCTTTTCTCTTCGTCTCTTAACTAAGCAAATTAAAAAAAAATTGTTACATCAAGTAATTTATGTTACATGATCAATTATTGGCATGGTGGATGCCAGCGCTTTTATTACCTTCTCAATAATAGCATTAAATAGCACTATGACAGGGCTGAGAACAAGATGAAGTGCAGAAGCCCCTCTAAGTCCCTTCTGAATTGCTGATACATTAGTTATTACATTTAGTTATTGTATTCAGGGCCAAGGCTTCCATGTTGTATATTTAGCTCTGCTTGCCCAAAGCAGGGTCTAAATGTAGAAAACAACTACCCGCCCGGTGCCCGTAAATGCATGTCCCTGGGCATCAGGAGATAGGACTTCCACACCCCTGCTGCCCCTCTACTCCCTGCTGCCCCAAGGCCTTGGTTGGCCTTGTGGGAAATCAGAACCCTGATTGTGTTGTCTCTTTTAATCTAGCGATTAGACGTAAACTTTTTTCAATAATGAATCCAGCTCAAACAAAGATACAAGTATTTCTTTACATTTTTTCCCAAGTCATCATGTTTCTAAACAGCCAGCTCCAGCTCTCTCAGCTCAGCTTCCCTGAACTTCCTGTCCATCACAAGGGACAGCACAGTCTCCTGCAGCCATCCATCTGCAAGCTTGGAGAAGAGAGGAGTAGAGGAATGGCTTGCCCTTGCTGTGACTGTGTGTTTGGGGAGACACACACAGCTTACTAGCACACACAAGGGTGGATCCACTGGTACCTTACATGGAAACGAGCCACCCTAAATGAGGATATCAGGGCCAGTGCTCAGGGGACCAGTTGACTCTGCAGGAAACTAAACCTTTTAGACATCAAGAAGCATCATCCATTGTAATTGCTTGAATCAGCAACTTTTTAAACATCAAGAAGCAGCATCCGTTGTAATTGATTGAATCAGCATTTTAAATAGCTTAAACAATGTTTGTCTTTAATATCGCTTTAATTGTGTAATTTATATAAGGATGCATGAGAACATATCAGAGGTTTCAGATGGATGAAATGATGGAATGCAGGTAGTTGCAATCTTCTTTATGCAATTTAAGGGGCCATTTTTAATGCTGACAGAAGAGTATTTGTAAATAGTGTCTTGATATTGGTGATATATGAAGCTGTGAGCTGATCCTCTTTTCTTGCTATATTGCTATGTGTGGAGTGTTTTCATCAACAAGCTGCACTTGTTCCTGGACACAGCAAGCAACAGTGCCACCTGCAGGCAGAAAGTAGACCTAGCCGGGTACATGCAAACACATTGTGACAGCACCAGTCAGATTGAGCTCACTGGTAAAGCTGCTGCACATTAGGAAATGGACATTCAAATAAATGCAGCAAAATAAATGCCTTGTAGCCGTCGCCTAGCATAGAGCTAATTACACTGTGTGGCAATTGTTATAGAAAAAAATCTGTCTCGGTCTGCTACAGGCAAAATAGAGCATTGTAGTTATTAAGGTTTAACACAAGGATAAGGATCTTTATTTTGGTCATGTGACTGTGATTTTAAAATCTCATCGGCCTCACACAACGTATTATTTGCAGAGCAAAGTGCTCTGGCAGTCCCAGCCCAAACACTACCTGCATGGAGTTTGCATGTTCTCCCAGTGCTTGCATGGGTTTCCTCCCACACTACATGCTGGTAGGTAAACTGGTTCTAATGTAGGTCTGGGCAAAAACAGGCCCTCCGGCTGTGGTGAACGTACAAATCCCATCTGTCTCTGGGAGTCATGCCTGTGGCTGTGAGAATCTTGCAACGCCTCATGGGATTTGTAGAACTACAACAGCTGGAGGCTAGGAGTTTGCCCACCCCTGCCCTAATGTGTGTATGTATATGAGAAGGGACCTTAGATTGTACAGTATGTAAAGTTGCACAAACTGTTGGCACTTTATAAATACCTGTAATAGATAAGCAAGCAAACCTGCACTAAAAAACTATTGATCACCTCAATAGTGGACCTGGAACAAGCATGCAGAAAGTGGAGTCAGCAGGCGTCCCAACCTGAAAAAAGTAATTTCAGGTAGGAGCCCTTCTCATTTCAGGGAGGTGCCATCACCAGCCCCCCACATGCAGGGGGGAACCTCCCTGAAATGATGGCAGATAGCAGAGAAGCTAGTGCTTCCCTTGCTATCTGCTGTTTTTCTTTTTGTATTGTGATACCAGCTGCCATCAGAATAATAAAAAAAAACAACAACGGACAGCATGGGAATGAGTAGCTAGGCTGCTATTAGCTATTTCAATTTGCAATAGCCGATAGCAGGCTGTGTATTGCACCCGCCCACTGCTGTTGTCAATCAGCAGAGGAGGACCTGATGGAGAACTTTAAGTCCACCTCTGCTGATTGACAGCAGCAGTGGGCGGGTGCAAAAGCCAGTCTGCTATTTGAATTTGCAAAAGGCAAGCTAGCTATACATTCCTATGCTGTTTTTGTTTTTTTTATGTTGTTTACTGATGGCGGCCCCAATGTAAAAGATGTTTCTCTCACTGACATACAATTCTGAGCACTCCTCACTGCACTGGACTTCATGCACAAAGTTGTTCATCTTGTGTTTTGGCGTTGGGTCTTTTGGGTGAACCAGTTGTTGCCCCGGTGTATTGCTGGTTGTGACTAACAGATTATGTGGATTGGAGCTACATTCACCATATTTATTCCCATATAATCTTTGTACAAGTCATTCTGAATTGAGAAAGCTGATTGGATGACCAGTGAAACGTCTTCAAGAAAAATACAGCAAGTCCAGTTGCCTTGACTTATTTTTTACAGATATCTGACTTCTCATATTCTCATAAGGAAGCCTCTAAAATGTAAGTGCTAGTAAAAGGGATGGATAGACCTCATGCACTGCTGGATTGACATGGTAGCAATTCTATTGTGCTGGGACTGATAGTTTGCAAGAATCATTTTGTTAAACAGCTGTACTTTTTCATAAAGTATTTATTTATTTTATTGTGGGTGTTGAGGTTAATTGATATCTGCCAAACCTCAGTTACAAAAGGTCCACTAAGATTTGGAGGGACACTGGGCAGTTTTTGTACATCCGATAGGGCCCATTCACATCCAATGCATTTGAATGCATTAATTAACACACACCAAACACATAGACACTAAAAATCAATAAGAGGAATGTGTTAAAATTGGAAAAGGCAGAACCTGGAGCAGTTGTCCATGACAACGATTCAGCTTCTATCTTTCATTTTCAAAGCTTAATTGAACAAACTGAAGAGAGAAGCTGATTGGTTGCCATGGGCAACTGCTCCAGATTGTGTCTGCTCCAGTTTTGATCAATTCTCCCCCATGAATTTCAATGGGCGTAGTTCCCATTATTGTGTTACATTGACGTGTGTCAAGACTTTTGGTCCAGAAGAGCAACTAAAACCAGTTTTGTCTCTCAAAAAGAGACAGAAGAAGCCAACATGCCATTCAACTTGCCAGCAAACACACCAATCAGTAAGATTTCAGTATTCTGGACTTACTAAATAAGAATAAGAATACCACTAGGCCAATGATGAGAACCATCACACACGCTACAATAGAAATCCAAGGAATGTTCTTTGGATGAGGAACTGTAATTAAAAAAAAAAACATGTATTTTAAAATAATAAATGCCACACTGTACAAAAGCAAAAAATGCTAAATCATACTAAAAATGCTAAATAATGTTAAAGGTAAACTCC